TATATATATATATTTATTTATTTATTTTAGGAAGACATGGATCAACTAGCACCATATTTTTTTTCCTTTTTCCCCCCTCTCTCTCACCAAATGACAAAGGCAAATCAATTTTTCTTTCTTCCCTTTTCACATAAGCAACACTAGCTCTCTCTTTTCATCTTAGTCGTTTCATTTTAATCAATTAATTTTGGAGTTGTTTTGTTTTTGATTAAGAGTTGGCTTTCTTTCATACATGAACATCATTTTGTTTGAAGTTAAGGCATTTTTAAAAGATGGTTTTTTGAATTTTTTACAGTAATTATGGTTGATTTGTCTTTAATCTTTTTTTAGGAGTTGAAGACATGAGAAAGAGAAGCAAGGAAGGCCAAGTCGGGTAAGAAAAACTATTGATTTTGATTATTCATCTTTCGGGTATCTTTGAATTAATAGAAAATGGAATCTTTGAATCTATTAATATCATATATATTGTTTCTTGGGTTTTTGTTTTTTGAAGTGAAATGAATGTTGGCAAGGATCTATTTCTTAAAATTTACATTTGGATGTTTGTAGTGGTAATGCTTTGTCAACTAATGCATAGTTTATTTAGTAATTTTTTTTTATAACTTCTCGTTTATAAATTGGAGGTTAGAGAATATAGAGAAAATATATATATATATATATATAAAAGCTTGAGAAATTAGAGATTCTTTGGTGAGGCCAGGTCAGTGATTTTGTTAAGCTTTCCTAACAATTTTATTGGATTTCTTTTTTATTAAATGCTTATTTTCAATTTGGATCTAAATGCTCAAGTTAAATATTTGAAAGTATAAATAATTCATAAATTATTTTAGATTGAAGTTCAATCAACAGATAAGCTAGGATTTGAACATATATATAACTACAGTTTATATAAACTTTAAAATATGATTTTAAATCTTTATGGGGGGGGGATTTTTTTTTATCATTCACAATTTTAATTTCTTTTTAGTTTTCATGGATTGTTTTTGAGATAATAATGAAGGCAATATGAAACAAAATTTTTAATGTGATTGTTAATTATAACCATAGTTTAATCTTAATTGATTCTAATTACTACTAATATATTTATTGGTTTTTTTCCTTTTTATTTATGGTATATCTTTTAGTTATTGTGCCCATAATTATTGAACCATCTAGGATTAAATTATTGCATTATTTAGTGGATCTTAATCAACCATTTTTTTAAAAGTTTTTTTTCTTCCATAAGTGGATGGTATTCATGTGTGAGTGTTTATATTATTGAAATATTTGAATTAGTGTATTGTTGTATTTATCTTTATATTATAAAAGTGCATTGCTTCAGGTATTTTCATTCGAGTGAATAAGTTTCATATATTACATGATAAATAATTTTTGTGTCCTTATCTTGCCTTATCACATTTTTGTTTTGTTTTAATAGTTGGAGGTGCTAGGTGTGTTGTTATTTTTGCATGTTTTAATCAACTCTATATAGGGACCTATACTTCATAAATTTGATACTTTTTTTTCTCCATTTATTGCAAGGTTATTTTGTTTTCTCATGTTCTGAGAATTCAACAGAATTTATACTTTTGTATTTAGCCTTTGAAAATGACATCACTTTTAGATCCATACACACTTTGGATCCAACAAGATATATATACTTGATAAAAGAAAAATAGGGGGTGGGGGGAGTTGATATAAATAAAAGATATAGGCCTTGACTATTTCATTTCATACATGCTAAGTTTTTTTTTTTGTTGGTTATTTCGATGGTTTGTTTTTCAGTTTCTTCTTTTTATGCCTTTGAATATGGAATTAAGAAGAAAAGAGTGTGAAACTTAAATTATCTTGCCTTTCTAGCATTATTTCTAAAGGATTAAAATTTCTTTATTGAAACAGGTTGTTGCTAGATATTTGTTGATTTGCATAATAGTCTTACTTTTATTTTGTAACTGATATTTTTTATCGATAAGATTCGACTGTAGATTGTTTTGTCAAATGTAACTTTATAGGGAATAATCTAGATCTTAACTCTATTGATTGTCATTGCATATTTGGTTTATTTTTGTTTATCTTTTTATTTTTCTTATACCTTCGATCCACAATAATTTACTACTAAATCAACGACAACATCTTGCTCTTTTTTTTTCAGTCTTAGTTGTTGAGATAACCACATTTCATATGCTATTTCACTACTAAGTTTTGCGTAGGCTTCTGACTTTTTGCAATATATTCTATCTAGCTTTAATTGGTTGAAGTCAACTTACATTCCTTTGACTTAACTATTGTCTTGACAACTAACTTGCATAGAATTCTTTTTCTTTAGTCTATATTATTTTAGTTAGATCAATCACTTTGCTGGATTATGGCTTCTCAAATTCATGCTTTACCATATCTTTTTTTTTTAACATAATTTATTCATTGTTTTTGCTAGTTGAGGACTATGCTGACAATTTCTTTTGCTCAAAATCTTTAAAGTCGTAATAAGTTATTTAAACCTTCCTAAGAAATTTTCATTTATCTTACTTGATAACCATGATTGCAGTCATATTTGTTTCCTTCTTGCATTCTCATTTATGATATTACAAGAAAACATTCTATAGACTTGCTTTATTGGCAATTATGTATGTTTTTGTTAGCTTTGTGCTGCTATGGATTAGTATTATTTAAGAATAATTTATTTATTAAAGCAACTATTATTTTTTTATGTCTTTACTTTTAGTGTAGTGGCACTAGGTTTTTGGATATCAGTTGAATATCAAATGATTTGTATTTGAATTGTGTTTTGTGGTTTCATTGCTCTATTATATAGTGAGAGATTAATATAATGCATGGTGGAATCTCTGTTTTGATTTGTCGAACAACTATTTTTAAGCTTTAACGAATCAGAGGATTAACATGCTATAGATACTTTTGGTGACATTGATGATTTAATTTCATTTCTAGTTCTTTTTGTATGCCATAGAATTAATTAATTAATTAATTAATTAATTATATATATATATATATATATATATATATATATATATATTGTGATGACATACATTGAAATCTTTTACCCTTGAGATCTTTTTTCAAAAAATACGAAGCTTCTAATCTTTTTGCTCAAACTTTTTTTTTTTAGTTGCTTGATGATTCATTTTTTATCTACAGGACATGTAGCTAAGAACATCATGCCATGCATGCCCTGGATATTGTTTAGTAGCTTTTTCTAAAACTCACTTTCTTTAACAACATTGGACTTAACTTTTGCTAGCATTGTTATATCCAACTCTTTTTAATTTATTAAGTGCTTCTTTATTCTAGAATTATTGGATGACAAATATTTTGAATTAAAAATATTATTGTTTAACCACTGCATTCATTACATTTTAATTAATCCATATCTTACTTGTATGCTAGGAAAGTTCTTTGTTTTCCCTTTTGTTATGTGATTTAGGTTTCATGAATTTATAATTGATAAGAAAGCTATTACAAAATTGCCAGCAGTAGCGCCCAAGCAATCCAACTAGTATGGAATTATTTGATGTTATTATTAAATTTAGATTAACAAGTTAATTTTTTAAATTTTTAGTTTGATTTCTTATTTAACTCGGGTTTAAAATGAAATTATTTTCTTATTTAACTCGGGTTTAAAATGAAACTTAGTTGAATGGAATTATTTAATTTTAGTAAAAATTACTCTGACATAACTTAGTTGTCTTGATAGTTTGAAAGAAAATCCGAATGAATAATTAAATAAAAATTCAAGATGGTTTAAAAAAAATAGAAGATGATGATATATTGTATCGATTAGATTTTCATAACTTAAACCATTAAATCCATGATTCAGTGGTGAATGTCATGAGTTTAAAAACTTTATTTTTTAAAATTATTTTTTACTTAATTATACAATTAAAATAAACGCTCATAAAATAGAATACAAATCAAATATCGATATGTTTGTTTGATATTGTAATAATTTCATACAAAATAAATCAATCAAAATAATTTATAAAGACAAATTAAAAATCAAGTAAATATTATAGCATGAAATTAAAAAAAATAATAAAAAAAGTGAAATGAAAAACAAATACCATACTATTCATGTAAATAGTAAAGAATCTATCACCACCTCTAGAATGATATAGACCAAAAATATTGCTACAATATCAGATTTAAAAGCATTGAATCTCACTGTAATATTAAACCCAATACTAATATTTATAATATTAATAATAATATTTTACTTATTTTTCAAAATTTTTATTTTTTAATCTTTTAAAAAAATTATAATTTTTCTTTGATAATAATAATAGTTTTTAAAATAATAATTATTATTAATTTTACACTTCAAATCAAATCTATAATTTTTTTTCAATATTAATAATAATAATTTTTTCAAATTTATTAATTATTTTATTAATAATATTAATTATAATAAAAATAATTATGTTTATAACACAAATAATACTATTTTTAATATTAATACTTTTAATTATAATATAAATAATAATATTTATAAAAAAATAATAATATCTTTTCCCTTTAATTATAATAAAAACAATTATATTTATAATAAAAAAACTATATTTAGAAATCTAAGACCCAATAACTTTGGGTCCTGAAACAAGACTCTTTAGCCTTGAATCCTAATATCGAACCTAAGTGCTTTGAGTCTTGACATAGCCCAAGAAAATGGGTTTTGACAAAGGATTCAAGAGATTGAATCCTGATGCAGAACCAATAATGTTAGGTTAGGGAGGTCTTAATGGGGCAGAACCTAATGCTAATGGGTTTAGCAGTGGCAAAAACCATTTCTCTTGGGTCCTAACGCAGGACCCAAGAGAAATATAATTAAAATAATAATATTTGTACTACAAATAAAAATATTTTTTTATTAATACTTTAAATTATAATACAAATACTAATATTTATAACACAAATAATTATATTTAGAAACCCAAGAATATTGCTAACATAAATAATAATATTTTTGAAATGAATAGTTAGAATTAAAATTAAAATAATAACATTTACAACACAAATAATTATATTAAGAGTTTAAAGAATATGTATAACACAAATAATAATATTTTTTTATATTAATACTTAGAATTATAATAAAAATAATATTATTTTAACACAAATAATAATATTTTTAATATGAATACTTTGAATTATAAGAAATAAAAATATTTATAACACAAATAACTATATTAAGAAACCCAAGAATATTTATAGCACAAATAATAATATTTTCTATATTAATACTTTTAATTATAGTAAAAATAATAATATTCATAACATAAATAATAATATCTTTGATATGAATACATTGAATTATAAAACAAATAACAATATTTTTAACAATAATAATAATAATTTTTTTCATTTTTCTTCTCTTTAAGATCTACCGATCCAGCCTCGCGCGGGTTTGCAAGCCAGGTGCTCGGGTCTATAGACCCTAGTCCTGAGACTGTAAACCCATTCGCCCTGGTATTGCAGCCAGGCACTCGGGCATGCTCCTAACGCCAAAGACATGGCAAACTAAGCGCTAGGTGGTTGCAGTTTAGGGTGCGTCCACGCGGGTATGGCATACCTAATACCTAGGCCTGACAACCAAGCACCAGGTGTCTGCAACTCCAGTGGACATGCCTCCAACCTAGCGCTTTGGGCTTGTAGGCGACAACTTCATCATGCCCTCTTCAAACATGGCATTCTACAATAAAAACACTCAAAGTGTATAATATCTATGCTATAGTATAAAACAATGCAATTCACAGTAAAAACATTCACAGTGTATAATAGCTTGCCCTATAGTAAAACATTGATTAATAGTTTTACTTATAGTTAATATCTCATTTATTTGTTAATAACTTATTAATTACATAGGGCGAAGTGATTAGTACTTAAAAGTGTATTTTTATCATGGTTTTATATCATCATTTTGCACTTGAAGTATCAATAACTCCTAAACTAAAATATGTTTTATAATAATGTATCTAATAATACAAGATACCTGTAATTTGTGGTAAATGTCTATTTTTAATGAAGGCCTATCACATAAATGAAAGGATTGATTGATGACTTGAAGAACTTAAATTGCAAGGATAAAGAGATGGCCAAACTTAGAAAAGAGATGTCGGTGCAATCCAAACCGGAACACTGTTCGGTAAATGGGTCATATCTGGAGCTATATATCTCAGATTTAGGTCCAATTTATATGGATGGAAAGGTAAGACATAGGCCTACAACTTTCATATGGAGCCCAAGATCTAAAAAGGCCATTATCAAGTCCAAATTGTAGCAACAACAAAGAAGCCCGAATCTGTCTTCCAGCCCGAGCACTGTTCGGTATTTTGGCCATATCTAGAGTTCTAGAAGTCCAAATGAGCTGAAGTTTTTACACAAGAAAGCTGAGACAATTGCCTACAACTTTCATGTTTGCAACTGGCTCCAGTTTTGACGTTATCAATGACGTTTTGGGCAGACAAGAGAAGATAAGGATTGTCACCAAGTCAAAAGTTGGTCACCCACTTATCAATTAGTCATCAAATCAATAGTTCCCATTTTTGGCCTATAAAAGGAGGCATTTGCCATGCATTTAGGCATCTTGATTTCCAGATCAAGATCATGCTCTTCCTTTCTCTCTTTGTATTTTTTATGCTTTGTTTTCATTAATATTAAGTTTATGCCTTTCATTTCCTTTCCTTTACTTAGTTAACTTTTATGTTCTTATTTTGTTTATCTATTTTGCTTTCTTTCATTATGTCTAGCTAAGTTAATTATGTCAAGGTGAAAAGGTTACACTAATGGTGTAAGAATAAGTATAATGTAAACTTAATATGGACTTTAATGTTTGATACTAACATGTTTTATATTTGCTATCTTGTTCACTCTTTAATACTTTGCTTGTTAAATGACTAATCTTGATTTATGTTACATAACACTTGGTACAACAAATGTTTGGCACTTTCATAGCCCATAATGTATGGTATAACCGACACCTGAGCTATGAAAGGAACTTGATTTGTTGTTAACATAAGTTATAATCATGAATGCTTGACGAGATTTACAAGTATTAGCATTAATTGAATAAGATGACTAATGTAATCATGTTAACAATATATAATCTGATTGGAACCTCCTTTGTGTGTGGTTTCCAATTCAATAATAAGAGTTTATACTATACTTGTTTGATATACCATTAGTGGAACCTCTAACCTTGACATTTGTTATTATTATTGTTTAATCCTTACATTAATTTTCCATCTCCAAGTTCTCATCATCTTCTTCTTCTTCTCTTTCTTTATTATTATTATTATTATTACTACTACTACTACTACTACTACTACTACTACTACTACTACTACTACTACTACTACTACTACTACTACTACTACTACTACTACTACTACTACTACTACTACTACTACTACTA